AGTGGTTTCCCACTGTTAGAAATGTAGGTGCATACTGCAATCTGCAGGAATTTAGCAGTTTCAAAGATGTCATTGACATCTAAATGTTGGAATTGGGGCCATGTCACATCTTATTCTGTGAGCCACACAAATATTGCTTGGTGTTAGAGCTAGTTTGGGTTTGGAGCTGTCACACTTCACGCCAGCAGGGATAAGAATTATACTTCCCCTCCATAAACTAGTTCTAACTCTTTACTCTTGTTTCATAATCAAGATGACATGAATCCATTTATAATTACCTTTTGTTTATGACTATTAAGCCAGCTGTGTATCCACCTTACAGTAGTTTTGTCTAGCCCACATATCTCTAACTTGTTTATGAAGAGGTTGTGTGAGACTTTGTCAAAAGCCTTACTGAAGTCCAAATATACTACATTCAATGCATTAATTCATTCAATACAGAAGTGCAATACAGAAGTAAGTTGCTTGGTTGAAGGAGATCAAATTTGTTTGACATGACTTGTTGTTTGCAAATTCATGCTGGCTGCTTGTGATCAGCTTTTCCAGTTTTATCAACCAGTTGTATAGTATTCCCTTGCAGCTGAGCCTAAAATATGATTTCATAAACCAGATGAACCCTAAAATAAAATAAAAACATATTTGAAAGGGAAGCAGTTTTCACAGTGTATAATGACAGGGAAAGAAATGGAAATTAAATCAAGTAATTAGGACTCATTGAACACAATCAACAATATTTAGATTTCTACACACATTCATTTTCTTTTTGTGATTAAACAACATGTCTACGTCTATCATGTATTGTTAGTGCTATGATCCATTCCTTAGGAAAAGTAGTAAAACCAGAAGAGAGTTTTGTTTTGGTAGGGTGATTTTTTTTTTAGGGTTTTTTTCTTTTATGTTGTTTATTTTTAACACATATGTTATAGTGTACCATATTCACTTGAATCCAAGGCATGGATTTTTTCTCCAGTTAACATGGATTTGGGGGGAGGGGGGGCAAGTCCTTTGTCTTAGATTTGTATGCAAGTTGGGGGGGGTGGCTGTGGTTCCTGCTCTGACCCTAGGCTTGGGTTGGGATCAGACCTGCAGCTGTGGCCCCCCTTCCCACCACCTGCCGCACACAGCCTTTGCTCCCCTTCAGCTGGGACCCTGCTCTAGTCCAGAGCAGGGAGTGCAGCGTATGTGCAGAGTATGCGCTCCAGCCTGGCCACATAGTGGTGGCAGCAGCTCCAGCCCTGGCTTTGGCTCAGGGCTCAGGCCAGAGCTGCCACCACCACAACAGCTGCCAACATCAGAGCTGGAGCTATGAGGGGCAGGCATGGAGAAGCAGGCAGGAGGGGAGACACCCTCTGTTGCTTAGCCCACTACAGTGCGAATTTAAGATGATCCTCCAAAAATTAGATTCTAGACATGGAAAATCATAACAAATGTATACATTTTCCCTGTGTAGAATCTAATTATTGAGGGATCATCTTAAAGTCAGAATAAATAGAGCTTATTGTTGGGAAATGTATTCCAAGCTTGAGGAAAGACGTTTTGTGTCCAAAAGCTTATCTAACATCTTTCCCAACTATTTTGTTGGCTTCAACGAGGGTGTTATCAGATCTTTTGAAGGGTGCTGTGAGGTGTGAGGAGATAAGTGAGGTGTTAGGAGATTAACAGATAACAAACAAACTTGCTTCTCCTATATTCTTTGGACCATTTCAACTTCAACAATCCTGCAAGACTATTGCAACACATTAGAAAGAAATAAAAAGTGGTGAGGTTATGCCTGAGGGATTTTATTTCGTGGTCTCAGATTAAACCTGAGATGTTCTGTGTCCCAGACTGATGAGTTTTACCCTTTTGGAGAACAACTGTGTTGTGCCAGAGGACTGAAACCCCAGTATCTCTCCCCTCTGAGGCATTGCTTGTGATATCTTAGGCACAAACATGCCATCTTGAAGATGACTAAGACATGACCTTGATTTGAAATTTTATGCAAATCTAATGTAGAGAGCATGGGACAAGGTCAATGAGTTGCCTGTTTTGCTTCTTTACTACATAATTAAATAATTATTTTATTGTCTTTATTTTGAGATCTTTAGATTTCAGTCCTGTTTGTCATACAGACCTAAACTGGTAAATGGGCAGTATGACAGAGCAAATGTGAATGATGTGTGAATTGGCCCTGGTCCAAATCTACATCATAATTTCATAAATAGCTTGGCTTTCTTGCTGCATAGTCAAAATATTTAATATTCAGTTGTCCTGAAATCTTCAAAATCAAAACAACCTCATGAGGTTGGCAAAAACAAAGTATTTACTAGCCTATTTAATACATACTGTCCTTTATTATTCAGTCTTAATGTAGAGTTTCACCATTGCTACCCAGTGCAAAGTATTAAATTACATTCTCTGAAACTGCATTCATATTTAAATCTTCTTTAAACAGAGAATTGTGAAGATTCCTTTTTTGGAGATAAAGCAAGTATAAATTTTTTTTTTACTCTGTTTTAATGTGTCAGAAGGCTCTAACTTCTAACAATAAGCCAATGATTCTGCAAAGCACATTCGCTTAACTTTAAATATGTGAATAGTCCTATAGCTTTTACTGAACTAATACTTTATCTGAAGAAGAAAAGTGCAATACAGAACAGGAGAAAAATATTTAATTATTTTTCTTTGGATGATATGTAAAACTTACTTTGTAGACACAGCGTATTCATTTAATAAATACAGAGAAATGTGTGTAAGAATCAGGTTTTTTGTATTTCTTGGCTTCCCATACCAAACTAAAGTAGGTCTTCAGTTTAACATCAACAAGTATTGCAGTCTTCCTTTCAAGGGGGCTACATTTCTCTGATGGATGCTGTATCCTTGTCTCCAAATTAAATGTTGGTCTGTACACTCCTGTATAGTCCCTTGGGATGAGAGTATCTGTATATTTGTGAGAATTAGTGCATCATATTATACTAGCAGGCTTATGAAATGTTTAACCAATAACATGATTTGCTACTGCAGGCCACAAAAGGAAGCTGAAAGTGAAAGCATGCAAAAAGTATAAGCTAGTCCTAAAAGCCAGCCCTCAGCCAAATAAAGTAATTTAAACATTTGTTAATAATATTGTTTCAATTATTAGTAGAGGTCCAGAGTCTTTCCCTTTAGGCTTCATTTTACATTAACTAAAAATAAAAACTGAATTTGAAGGTCATAAGATATAAATGCTTACAGTAACTTTTAAAAATTTCCCAAACATGAAAATGGAAGAAAACAAATGCCAGCTCTCCCAATGTTCTGAAAATATTTGGTTTTTCATTTTAATAGAAGTATTTGTTTTACTCAGCTGATTGATTTGTTTATAAAGAATTCAGTATCCAGGACATTTCACACAGCAAAATTAAG